ATCGTTCTTACTCTAAGCCCACAACCAGACAAGAACAGTAAATAAAGCTAAACCAATTATTCTTAGGCTATAAGATCTTAATTATGTACGGTCGTGATGCATACACTAAGCAACTATAGTAACGGTGTCAACTTCATATAAGGAAAAACCCTAGGTTATCAGGCATCATATAATCAGGCAATTCTATCATGCAATTCATGAAGATCCCTAGCCTAGTATAAGCATGATGTTCTAACATATCACAAAATCAAATAAACCGTAAGGTATTTTGGGGTCTATTCGCGAGCTCCGGCTGATCGTACACTTACATCCTCCTTTAGTATTTTGAAAACCATTTTAAAAATCTTGTCCTTAGTTTGAGACAGGAGACACACGAGTGTTTCCTCCAATTCACTCAAACCAAGGCTCTGATACCAACTTGTAACACCAATAAAAATCATGCCAAATTTAAACTTTATAAAACATATTGAACCCAATAATTATTACAAACTTGTTTTCAAGATAGTATAGCGTAAGAGTATCCAAGAATCAAATCATGAAAACATAAGGAGGTGTACGATCACACCTTCGCCTTCCCGTGATCATCATAACTACCTGAAACAAAATAAACAACTGTAAGCCAAAGCTTAGTGAGTTCTCCCAAAATACCAACTACATATAATCATAATCATATCATATAAACAAACAGCATGCATAATGAGCCTTCATCTTGACTGGACCGCCTCGCAGACCTTCAGTCTATCTAGACGGCTCTCTAAGCCTTCGGCACATCTGGACCGTCTCTCAGGGCCTTCAGCCTATTCGTACCGCTCGTCGGCCTAATCAAACAATCACATTCACATAAATATCATACGCTAGCATATAACAGTCAAACTGATCTAACAGATCACTAATCACAGCAACATCCTATAACCAGGATACCGACCTAACCGGTCACTAACATAGTATTATACTATATACCAAGATACTGACCTAACTGGTCACTAACATAGCATTATCCTATATACCAAGATACCGACCTAACTGGTCACTAACATAGCATTATCCTATATACTAGGATACCGACCTAACCATGTCACTAAACATATCACCATCCTAACTACCAGGATGTAAATCAATAAGCATATCATGCAATAAACCCGGATACAAATCCGAAAAGGGTCGGCATTGGTGCCTTCGACCCTGTTAGTGTAGTGAGGACAACTCACCTCACAAGTAGCCCAGAATGGTAATGTCAAACTCCTCCAAATACAACTCCAACTCCAACACCTTCATCCACCAAAAATCCACTCCCATAAATTCCCAAATTACTAAAATACCCCCATAAGTCAAACCGGTCAACCCTTGGTCAAAGTGAGAGCCAACGGTCAAGGTCAATAGTCCATGTTGACCCAACTCGTCGAGTCCTTCTAGAACTCGAGAAATCATGAAAACCCTAGTTGACTTGTTGAGTTTCCAGACAACTCCTCGAGTCCATGTGTGTCCAAATATTGGGGAAAAACCCTAACTAACTCGTTGAGTCATCTCACTGACTCGTCGAGTCCATGCAGAACCCAATAATGGCCAATCTTCATTGGACTCATCGAGTTAACCATGCAACTCATCGAGTCTCTTTAGTCTATTTCTCATTTAGACATTTTAAGCTACCCCAAAGCTCCAAATTATAGATCTAGCTTCCTAAGGAACAGATCCCACGTAAAGTTGCAAACTTTATGCACATGCAAGTTCTTAAAGGCTTAGAACACCAAAAACCAAGTCTAGAATGAGCTTTAGGGCATGGTGAGGGGTCAATACGAGATAAAGTTGATAACTTTATGAAATTGGGACCTAGAGGATTCCAGATCTGAAACTATGCCCTTGTGACAAGCTCAAATCCGAAAGGAACTTCATTTTTTTCACCAAAATGTCCATATTCTCTCTTAAGAAGAGATCTAACAAATGGAAGACCAAGGTAAAGGCTTTTTACCTTAAAATGCCAACCAAGACAACGTAGATACTGGATCTACCCTCTCTTTTCTCGTTCCAAGCTTTTAAAACTCGATGCTTCTTCATTCAAAAGCACAAAAACACGCTTTAGCCTCTCAAACACTCAAGAACAAGGTTTAGACTGATTAGGGTTTCTTCTGGCCGTCAAAAGGTGGTAAGGGGCTGGAGGAAAGGACTTAAGGTCCTTTAAATAGGGTGCATACCCTAAAAATTAGGGTTTCCATGCACTGCCTCTACTCATCGAGTCGGGGTCCTTTGACTGTCGATTAGGTGTCAAAAACCACGCGGGATGACTAGGTTCGACACGACAAGTTGGGGCCTCCAACTCATCGAGTTCCCTCAATAAAATGAATACAAGCTTTCGAAAATTATACCTGGAAGTCGGGATGTTACAACTACCAGCTTATCCATCATCTCTTGAGTCGAATCACAATTTTGTACAAGATGATATACATGATAGGGAAGAGAGTTTCCTGTTGCAACCTTGGCTTTCACATCAAGACTAAGCAACTTCTTGCCATCGTCATCATAACTTGTCTCTGAATTTTGCTTCAAGGGACTAACGGTAGCATTATTGACCATAGGTTGAGACATTGAAACATGAGGGCCTTTTTCAATGATGGTGTAGATCTCATAGTCAATGGTTTTAAGAACAACCATGGCCTTAGTTTTCCACATGGCAAAGTTGTACTCATCAAAAGGAGGAATCTTGTTGAGATCAAAGGATTTGAGATTATTGGAAGTTGACATGATTACTTGAGTGTATCAAAAACCTACTCTGATACCAATTGAAGGTTTGTATCGATTAGATATACTTCAAGCATAAAGAACAAAAGCAAACTAACCTAAACAAATAAAGAATAGAAAGTAAAGAACACAAGATATTATCCAAATTGTCTTTCACCAAGTAAGAGTTGGTTTTCACAAAGAAAACGGGGTTGTCACAAGGACGGTCATAAAGACGATCAACGACACCAAGCCATATAGATACATTACGGGTTCACCCTAATGTTTAATATATACTAGTCTATACAAGTATATCCCTTGATTGAAGGGATTGTATCTTATCTATACTAAGAATCGATCTTCATAAAAAAAAATATCGGATCTGCTATCTATTCTATAATTATCTGTATCATTACCTAATATACAAAAGATTACATCAAATAAACTATCTTCACGTTGATGCTGATAAACTTTATACGCTAGCACTGATGGTGATGTATACGCTGCCGCTGACCGATAAAGTGTTTTACTTATCAGATTATAAGGTGTGACTTTATAGAATTTAATAGTAACATGAGAGTTAACAATCAAGGGTGTTTGTAAGTATATCTCAATCATACAGAAAATGTTTAATACCTGAACATCGGCTATTTTTCAGACGAACGTGTTTCGGTTATTTGTTAGATATAACTCCCCCTAATGGAAATGTTACTGATACGTATGATGATGGTGCATGAGGTGCGACCAACGCCATAGCTAATCTAACAATACCGGTTGCAATTCAATATACAAGGGCACAAGCTACTATCATTTGAACAATTTGAATTTTGGTTGAACATTGAATTCTAATTTGGTCCATATGTTGATATCCTTGCTACAACTAGGAAACCAATGACCAACTCTGCTTTAGTTTCTCGATTTTTCCCATGTCAGACAGACACATTTATTCGACTTTTGCATTTGGAACAATACTTTATTAGCCCGAGGTTATTACAAATTTTTGATGAAGATGCAGTAACGCTTTATTTAACATATATTTGTTTTGTAGAGGGTTAATGGGTCAAGAATTAACTATCAATATTCCACGGATAATGCTTGTCCGCACGGATGATCTTGAAAGTTGGAATATGTACTCTTCACTCTATTTTATATATATATATATATATATATATATATATATATATATATATATATATATATATATATATATATACACACATACACACACTCTAATTTAATTCAGGAAAAAAATGTTTGATGGAATATGATGCCAACGTCGGAGGAGCTCGAAGCTGAATATATAATGTACTCAATTTTTGGAGGGCATCTCGATACCTTCTCCACCCTGACAACAACTTCCACCCCAAGAAGAATGAAGAGGTCGACAACATCTCAGTTCCGGTAACCAAGCACTAAATCGAAATATATAACAATGATGATTCTTCATCCACAAGTGCATCGTCCTCACACAATTCTCGTCACTTGTCGTCTGATAGGTATGACATGTTTGTCTCATACAACTTCAAAAATCAATCAAGCCCAATGAAAACCTTGTTGGGAGGATTTAAAAATTATAAAATAATTGGTTCCATGGAGGCAGATATTTGCCAACTTAAATACCAAAAAAAATGTTGAAAATTTTGTTATACCGTATAACTACTGGATGTGTACATTTCCACACTAATGAGACCTTCCTAAGACTTGTATTATCACACGATCAATCGATTTACATAAAACATAGACTCTCTCTAAGTGCATAATGATATGATTTATGAGATCGTCTGTGTGGTTGGTTGGATTCTACGGTAATTTTATTATTATTTTATTCTTATTTTATCATGTTGTTTACATTTTTCTTTTATATTTACAAGAAATAACATTTTTTTCCTACATTACGAATCAATTTATGAGAGTGTTTCACTCTAATGTTCAATGTACAATCATAACTATCACAACAATGTCAATGATAAGAATAAAGATTGGGTCCGATTTGCTATAGGGAACGATAGACGTGTTTAGTATATTTTTATTATCTTTTTAATTTATTTGTTTCTTTATTTATTAATTGAAAGTACCACATTTTTGTTAACTAAATTACATAATGAATTAATTTGCAAGAAAAAAGCTTACCGTCGCTATTATATTCACAAACCGTCGCGATTGTGTCGACGACGGCGTGCGATACGTGTTTGCTGCTCCCAGGTTGTGAAGCGTCATCCAGACCCTTTCCAGCCAAACCCTACTACTTTGAATAATAGAATAACCTCATTCATAGGGCATCATCACTCCCCCCTTTCTCTCTCTCACGATCTTCCCTTTTCTTAATTCTTTATGATTTTTGATTCACAATCGGCTAATCCATTACTTCGATTGCCTATCGATCGACCAAAAACCACTGATTAGTTTCGAACCATTCAATACCCAAAATATTTTACATTTCTTTGATTTCCAGGTACGCGATCCAACGCGATTGTCTCTCTCAATATGATAAACTTGTTTAGACTTTCTATGTTTGAGCAAGTGTAGCTGTTTGGTATTCTGATCTGGATCTGTTCTTGCGATTTTCGTTTTGTTTTAGTTCCGATTTGTCTGGATAAACCCTAATGGCCGACGAGAAAGAGGTGAAGGAAGTGGTTGGAGAGAAGACCGATGATAAGAAAAAGAACATGAGCAAGAAGAAGAGCGGAATTCTCTCTCGGATTTGGAATACAGTGTTTAGGTCGCGAAGCGATGATTTTGAGAAGAGACTGCAGTATATATCTAAAGAAGAGGCTACGCTTCTATCGCGAATGAAGAGACGAGCTCTGAGATGGAGGCGAACAGCCAGGAACATAATCATCTTCTCTGTTATCCTTGAGGTAGTTCCTTTACTCATTACCATAAACCCTAGCTTGTATCGATGCCTGATCTCTTGCTAGATTGCCATAAACTAAGAGTTTTCTGTCGAAATTGAAATTCTATTTGTTCTGGCACACAGTTTGTTGCAATTGGTTATGCTATCATGACAACAAGAACAGTAAACATGGACTGGAGAACGAGATCATTGCGAGTCCTACCAATGTTTCTTCTTCCTGCCATATCATTCGCTCTGCATTATGGACTTTTGAGCTTCACGAGATTCGGTAAGTCTACAACATACTTGTCATCCATCCCTATTAACCCCAAATTCTTATCTTCTCCTTTGGTTTATAGGTGATCGAAGGGATCAGAAAGCACTAGAGAGGCTTCGCTCTGAAAGGCAAGCAAAAATCGATGAACTTAAAGAAAGGACTAATTACTACATTACTCAACAACTCATTCAGGTACTACACTGTACACATCGTCTTCTACCTCTCCTCCTCTAGAAACATGTTCTTGTTTCTTATCTTCAAATTTCAACCCGTGTTGCAGAAATATGATCCTGATCCAGCAGCAAAAGCAGCAGCTGCATCTGTTCTCGCATCAAAACTGGGTGCAGATTCAGGCCTGAAAATGTTTCTTGGAAACGAATCACAACCAAATCCGTATACCACAGGGAAGAACAACGAGGTTGAGGTGCATCAAACTACTGGTCTCAGGAAACGAAATCAATCAAACCTTAAATCTCAAGGAAGCAATACAGTAAATCAACAATCAGAAACAGAAATCGGAGATTTGGTTTCTGAGAGATCTTCACATGGTGATCTTGTTGTTGATCATCATGATCCTGCAACTTTAGGTGGTCAAGATGGTGGTTGGATTGCTCGAATTGCTGCAATGCTTGTGGGAGAAGACCCAACTCAATCATATGCACTTATATGCGGGAATTGCCATATGCATAATGGTGAGTAAATGAGAATCCCCATCTTAATTTTAAAGAATTAATATTCAAAATGTGATAATGAGTTGTGTATATGTTAACAGGACTTGTGAGAAAGGAGGAATTCCCTTTTATTACTTACTATTGTCCCCATTGTCATGCGTTGAATAAACCAAAGAATTCAGGAGTTTCTTCTGAAGCAACCATGTCCCCTGTTTTGGGACCTTCAAGAACAGTAAGTGCAGATGTTAAATTGATTGAAGAAAATAATGAAAAGGTAGTACCTGGTGAGATTATCAGCCACGTGGCAGGTGATGTGGAGGAGAAAGAAGTGAGTGAGAAAATAGTGGGAGATGAGTGATGGATTTTTGTGGTTTGTTGTTTTGTTGTGTAAGAGGATGAATTTTGAGGTGTTAATATACACATAGGAATCACTGTCGTGTTGGATGATCTATTATTGTTTGCAGATGTATAATAATAATACATCAATTTCTGCTTTTTTTTTTTTTTTTTTTTTTTTTTTTTTGTTATTGTTTTGGCGAACTAAGATCTGTATGGATTGAAATGAAATACAACAATTAAAGATGTGTTTTGTTCGTGGATTCTGATGGAATCTGACTGAATTGGAATCTGATATTCCATTCCATATGTTGCCAAATAGATAGAGTTTAATTTTGTTTTTGATGGATTCACTATTCTTATGGGAGGAACAGAATTTGATTCTATCCTTCCTTTTTTTTTTAATTAAAAGACCAAAATGATACCCTCATTATATATAAATATTTAAAAATATCTATTTTGTTTACTGAATTCAATTCTATATGGAATCCGATAAATTTGGAATTCGAGATTAAATTGACAAAATCAGATTTCAAACTCCATGTAACATGGATTTCAGCATTGGTCTGGGAGGATTGATGGAATTCCATCTTTTATTTTTCTTTATTAAAAAATGAAAGTACCTTCATTGTATATATATTTACAATAGGAAAACTCCACAAAAGTTTTTATGTTTTGGTCTCATAATCGATTTAATCTTTATATATTTTTTTTATTCAATTAAGTAACAAAAATCGACAATTAATTGTATTTATTTTGAAAGGCCAATAGGTCATCCACTTTCAAAAATTACATTTCTGGCCTAGATTTAAAAATTTATTATAGATTTGGTCCAAAATTTATATTTCTTGCCCATATTTCAAAATTTTGTTACGAATTCATCATAAATTTATCTTTTTACATTTTTTTTTTTTTTGTATAAAATCATATTTATACAAAATAATAATTGTTTAGGTTATTGTAGCAATTTTGTGATGGTTGCAATTTATACTCCACTTTCTACTTAAACTCTTTGAACTTTTTACGAATATCCCTAATAAAAATTATAAATGGACACATATTATAATAGATGTAGAAAACTTTCATAAAGATGCTCAATTTTTGAACTCTCCAAACCGTTTAGCAAGTGATTCCCATAAACCTCAATGCATTTTCTCTTTGATATCCTTGATCTTTATGATCTACTTTTCGAATCACACATCTATTTTGAACATACACCGAGTAGTTTCGTTTACGAAGGATTTTGTCAATTTTACACCAAAAATCGTAATCATATGCACAATATGGTTAGAGATAGGGTAGGGCAATCTTCTAGATCTAGCTTTAATTTTTTACAAGTATGCCATGGAGGTTTCATTATCAGTATGATTGATAATGATATGCCACTTTATTGTCTAATTAAACAATTAGGTATGGTCAAGATTGGTTATAAAGTCTTTATAGTTTATCCACCTTTTAAAAATGCAAGAACCAAAATCTTCCTTCTCAATTTACGCTTAATTATGATTATCCTTCAAAATTCTGTTCCTTCAAATTCCAATTCAAGTTTCTATGACAAATTTGATTCCTCCCAAAAACATTCTATCAACAAACATTGTGAGTACTATTACTACTACTACATCCTGGATAAATGCCCTAAAAAACAAAGGAGTTTTCTGATACAAGTGTGTTTGTTAATTGGTGTATAATACAAGAGTGAACAAAAACTATAAACTCTAAAAATTCTCATCTCACTCACTTGATACCAAAGTTGGAGTGTTTGAGCACATGCTCATTTGATGAAGTTCCAACATCTTCTTCTCAGGGTTACACAGTCCTGTCATATCCAAAGGGTAAAACGGTCATTTTACTCACTCTCACTCAGAAGGTAGAAAAGAAAAGAAAGAGACCTGAACACTTGGGAATATCCCAAACAGCAATAGATGTAGTGGTGCATTCTGGTTGACAAAGTTGACGATTATTCTCATGATTCACATTCATTGCAAGCATCCATGCACCAATTGTAACATCCTCATTGCTAAACAACCGAAAACTGAAAAAATAAAAATAATTTTTTATTTCTTTATAAATATGAAGAAGAAGAAGAAGAAGAAGAAGAAAACTTGCCTGTTATTTCTAAAAGCAACCAAGCTTGCAACAACGTCTGCAGAAAGAGCATATATTGGACCATAAGCATGGAGAAAGTACTCTTTCCCAAGCATATACCCTAGTGGCTCATGCCTACATACATAGGAAAAGGAAAAGGAAGTATAAAAACCTCAAATAAAAACCAAAATTGCAAAAAAAAAAAAAAAAAGGTTACCATTTGAGCTTTGGGTCAGTGAACACAGGACCTTTCTTCATGCATCCAAGAATAAGTCTGTGTGTGATGGCGTTCTTTAGCCAGAAGAAGTGAGAGGCGATCTAGCAATGAATGTAACAAGAACATGAGAAGCGTTTTACACATTTGCACTCTTTAATATGCGATTTGGAAAAGTTAACTAGTTACCTGGACGTAGGTATATGTCATCATCAGCTTTAACATAAAAATCAGAATCATAAAGTGCATATGCAGCTTTGAAGAAAGCTAAGCTGTAATGGAGATAGAAATTAGTATGAAGTTTAGAAAGTGAAGAGGATTGGGTTATTTGGATCTGCCATTAGAGAACTAACGTTTTGTATGGGAGCTTACTGTACTCCTCTTCAATGTCTAAAAGCAAGAAGTCATCGTATTCCTCCACCTCTCTCCTGAGCCCTGCCATTTTTGATGAATCCTTAGTTTTACCAATGATGAACCTGAAGGCCAGGCCAGTTGCTTCTTCCAAGCTGCATAAGGTTGCTCCATTAAAGCAATAAAATGGAATTCCTGATCTAATGATTATCGAACAACTGATATGCAAACTCCGGCTACTTCTGAGATTGAAATACGGAAACTAAATCTAAAACGCTTACCGTTGAAGGCCTTGATGATCGGAAGGCATCCAAGTCTTCCGCAATGATCGCCGTCTACCAGCCGATGCAAAACCTGTTTGAATTCCAACAAACCCCATCACTTTATGCCTATTCTGTTCTCCTTCAGAAACCAAATCGCTAGAACCACCACTTCTATCCCAAACCACAGACACCGAAATCGGTTTACTATGTTTACATTTATATACTCCAGTGATATCTTGTCTCAGAACGACAATGCCGATGAATAACAAACCAATCAAGGAACAGAGAGTTAGCACGACTGATCTACGACCTATGTTAGATGGATGACGAGCATGGAAGAACTTCCTGGATGAGGGCATCGGCATTGTAAGAAACCCTAGAAATTGTAAAGAATCTAGGGTTTTTGATGTGGAGATCGAGAATTGTGATTTGAGATCATTGACAGAGGGAAATTGATAGAAGTAAAGTGTATGATTCACAGAGATCTGTAGGTTAGGCAGGAAGGAGGTGAAATTAGGTTCGTTATGACGGTTTATTTGGTTTCTGCCCGTTTACTCTGGGTGATTTGTAAGCAATTGGTTTTTTCAAACATAACCATTTCTGTTTTATAGAATTATATAATACAATATTTAAAACATAAATTATTTTATATGGAGAAAATTGATTATAACCTAAAAATGTGTGAAATGTCTCTAAATATATAGAAGATTATAACCTAATCAAGTAATTTATCATCTAACAAAGGATTTGATTAGATATTATAATATAAATTTTATTTTATTTAGAAAATTCCACTAATTTTGTTCTTACATATCATACTATACTAAATGGTTGAAGTTGAACCATGGTTACCTAATTCGCACATAAGGCTGCGTACCTCGAACCAGTTCGCTATGTACCGAATCGGGGTACGAAGGCGTACCAAGTCGCTCTGGGAACGGGAACCAAATCGGAATTGCAGCATACCAATTCGATGCTTGGCAATGGGACGATTGATCTTCAATTCGTGTGTGGGACGACGAATTTTGTGAACCCCTTCAATTGGAATCGTGATTGGGATGCCATGTCAGTGCCGACTTTCAATTTGGCGGGAATTAGTGAGACACTTAGAAAAAGTGGTACGTCTCCTCGATTTCTAACTAATTCCTATGTACCAAGCTATCAGTATTATGGATACAAATATATTGTGATTCTTGATTTCTATTATCTCATTCCAAATCTGTTGCAATTTCTTTACTTCTCCAATTTCTGTTCTTCTCCAATTTATCTACTGTTTCACCCTGTGATTGAGAAAAAAATGGTGTTCGGAAGAAATGCCAATACTCCAGCAAAATAGTGAAACACAAGCAGATTACATTAGTGA